CTTTCATGTTGCATGTTGCACCTTTCATGTTGCATCTTTTATGTTACATGCTGCATGTTGCATGTTGCATGTTACAACTTGCAAGTTGCATATTGCATCTGCCTTACTAAGCTAATGAAATGTATTTTGTTTATATGGTATTCATATGTTAATAATGTCAGCACAGAAAACATTATGCTGGAAAAACGTGCTGGCAAAAGTAATTAGCAAAAATTGAACATGCAACAAAACTTTGGCCTACCTTTTTTGAAATAGCTGTATGGGCAACCATATTTAAGTTGATTACAGGCATTGCTCAATGGATCCTTCAAAGCAGGGATTAAAGCCAATTAAATTGGATTAGGAATTGCTCAAAGAGCTTATAAGTTGTAAAACGTCAACAAAGTTATTTTTGATGTCTTTAGAGATGTGATGCAGAATCATCTGCTCCAAGTTCTGGCTTTAATTGCCATAGAAAAGCCAGCTAGCATTCATTCAGAAGATCTTAGAAATGAGAAAGTCAAGGTTCTTAAATGTATGGACCCAGTCAAGCTCTCTGACACAGTTCTTGGCCAGTATGTTGGGAATCCTGACATGGAGGGAGACGCCAAGCATGGTTACACTGATGATCCGACAGTTCCTGCAGGGTCCATCACTCCAACATTTGCTACGTGTGTTTTCTACATTCGCAATGAGCGCTGGGATGGTTAGTGATGTTGATCTTTCAATCATTTATTTCTAATGACATTAAGATGGGATCAATTAGTTGAGAGTCTAACAGTCTGGCTGTTGTGTGGGGAGTAAGTGGGCAGACCACCACTCAGGGTTTTTAAACATCTGAGTAGGAGGTGCTTGCTGCCTTTGCTTTAGATATATCTATTTACAAAATTGATAGCTTATAGGCTGTAGATTGGAGCCCAAATAAAAAAATAAGACAGTGCAATTAGTTGCGAATGTCAAATGCCTGCCAACACCACCTTATTATTATCAATAAAAATGACAGCAGATGCCTTGACTATGATAGGAAATGATAGCCAACGGCATTGATTTATTTATTGTAATTTATTTGTTATCATTGCTTTTTACAGGTGTTCCATTCATTTTGAAGTGTGGAAAAGGTATGCAAGCTCATTACTGTTCGAGCTTTAGAGTGTCCTGTGTTGATAATAACAAGACTATGAAACAGCTCTGAGAAATGTCTGCAATGATTTCAGTAATTATATTCCAGTGAAAGAAGAGCCACTCTCTGGACTTGCCGTCAAAACCCATTTATTCTAATTTCTCCTGATTGTAATTTGTTCATTTTTTACTTTCAGCCTTGAATGAAAAGAAGGCGGAAGTGCGCATCCAGTTCAATGATGTTCCTGGTGACATCTTCAGTGGAAAATGCAAAAGAAATGAGTTGGTCATAAGACTACAGCCAAATGAGGTAAGAATTTTGTTACGACAAGATGTTGCAGGTTTTTTTATTGTGACAGAGTCAAAAGACACTATTTTGGACAGTAATTATTTAGTCATAAATCTATATTTTTAATTAGGAATGCCTCGTGTACACATAGGAATGTAATTCTTTA